CTTAAAAACTAACCTTTTATTCTTTTACAGGTTTCTGTTTCGTGTGCCTCGAAAACCCCCAAACCCGGGTATTTATTCCATGCATGCACAAAATTTGTTGCTCCCAATGTGCCACGAGAATTATGGCGCACCCGCAGCCAAGGTGCCCCTTATGCCGCCTAGGAGTGTTGCGCCACGAGCGAGTTTTTGAATGATAATGAATTATTTTATTTCTTTCCCTCTGTATTGCTTAAGCTCAGTAATAATTTGGTATAATATACCATTGTGAATCACAAAATAAATTTTGTATCACCGTATTTGGCTAACAACTTTCTTATAATTAGGAAAAAACCTGTAATTTTTTCGATAATTACATTCTGTTGATACTGTATCACCTTATATTGTTTGATAACTTTTGTTCGCATAAAAAAACCCAACAATTTTGTAATAAATAAATGAAACTTATTAGTTATTTTTCCTCATCCTCATCTCTACAATTTAAAAATGTACATATACTTACTTTTTTGGTTGAATCGTTTTCTCGTCGACTCAAGCTTTGGATGTCGCGAACATATTTAGGTCTAAAATCAGACCGAAATACATTTTCATTACATTAGATAATAATAAAAACGATGCTATTTCCCGTGTTCATATCCCAAATGTAATTCAAGCCGTAAGCGTCGAAGCCTATACGCGTCCGAGATAAGCAAAAAACGCAGTGTCCGAGCAATTTCTACGGCTGCGTTCATTCAAAATCCTCACGGTCGTGAGCGTTCTCGTTAGCGCGAGCGGCGAGCGTCCTTAGGTATATATCGCGGGGCTGCTAGAAAAAGTGCCGTGCGATAAAAATGATGTCACTTATGTATTAAATAAATTATAGCTGAAAATAAGCAGATGATATTCAAAAATAACCTTCGTACTCTCTTGTAGTGTAAAGCGAAATGTTGCGAGCATTGGCAATATAAATACCATTGGCCCGGAGTGCAAGTCCTACGCTCGGCCGCACAATTTATCAGCTTGCGTACGGGCGATTGAGCTCCAGCGGCGGTGATACACGAGCGAGAAAAAATCGTACACACGTCGCGGGAGCGGAAAAAGCTCACGAGTCGAGACGTACGCGACAATTAAAAATTTCCCGAGCTGATCGATAAAAGTGCAATGGTTTTGCATTTGCCGGTTGCTTCAATTATATATCGCGTCTGCCGTGCAGTGATCTGCAGCGAGTTTGCGCGCGTGAAAAGATCGCGCGAGAAAGAAGCAGCTGTGACTCGCAAACATCGCTTCGTGCCAAATTGCCTGTATAAAATACCAGCGAGTGATGTACTGCACAGGCCCTTGCGAGTAAAATTTATAATACAGGATCTCGTATGCTTAATCTTTCCACAATTAAATATTAGTTATTCGTGGAAGAGCCCGAGCTTTTATCGCGTGAGGCGCGCATACGCGATAGAGATGGTGGCCCGCCGCCTGACGAGAGCCACACACACGCGCGCAAGCTCGTACTATAATGCGACGGTCTCGCTCGACTGGCTGACTGTAATTTACTGCTTACCAATTTCTGACAACAAAAACACAGATACCTGCTTTGTCGTGCTTTCAATTCCAATAGACATAAATGCGAGCACATTAATCGGCCAACCCAATATACCTATATACCCACTCGAGTGCAAGCTCGCGCAAGCACACACACACTCCTCTCCTCACTCTCACCGATCTGTACACGTATGTATATGCACACGTATACATACATTCAATACGTTCAAAAGCTCACCAACCACTGTACTGTCGAATTCGGGCTTGTTTTTATAAACGGAGAAAGCTACAAACTTGATGATTAATTTGGCTCGATCGAGGTTCTGTGATGTACTGTACTGGTCACCGTGGCTTTAAATCACGAAACCTGAGAAAAGAGACTCGATTTCTTCATTTTAATCGTGGCCCTTCCAATCGCTGATTATAAAATATGATCCAGCAGTTAGAGTCGTTCTCTTTCAACGGTTTCTCGTGAGCTCTTCAATTGTTCAGCCTCGTCGGACAAATACATTGTTTTATGCACACATCGAAGCAACCGACCAATTACGAAACATATTTGTTTGACCGCGAATGAGTGATAAGACAATTCGGCGTTCATTCTTCTGAATAAAATAATAGTTATTTATGCAACAAGTGCGCAAAAAGCTGGGCACGTGTTGCATACAAAATTTCATGCAATAGTATGCGAAAAATGCTTTTTTATGATATTAAGAGGTCCTTGATAATATTGTGAGACATGAAATAGTCCAGTACCTCGCCAATACGGCACTGGATTATAGCGCTACCGACTTATTGGGAAAGAGCATTCTCCTTTTTTCATGTAATAATTAAAGATGCACGCTCTTCGAAAACTTATCTGATCAGGTCAAAATTGAAACTTTCGGTCGTGTAAGAATTACATTCATACTGAAAAATCGAAAGAAAATTATCACAAAACTACCTCGCGAATCGAGATTGAAAGTTTTCATTGCGATATGTTAATATTTTCCTACTTGCCATAAAATTAACTTGTATTCAACGCATAAATCCAAAAATTTTGCTCAAATCTACGGTAACTCTCATGTATATTACACGGTCACGATGAACGATCTTATATTGATTAAAATATGATGAGTAGAGCCATCTGACGTCATTCGAGGCAATTACGGACAACGCGCACCAGACCTGTTTAGTACAATCGACTTTCGGCTTTATTAACTTTGGCTACAAACCTACTCGTTACAAACTAACGTTGTTCGTAATGCTTTCGTCATAACTGTGTAGCAATAAAGATTTATTTTAAACATTATATTTACTCTCTATTGACTTTTGTATTCTACAAAAATTTCGGTTTTTTTTTTTTAAATCATTACCGTTTCTTACTTCACCTTTAGGATTATAAAAATGTTTAAAAACCACTTTCATTTTCGGACAACTTACCCGTAGGCCAAACCTACTTTATGCACTTTGACCCCCCCCCCCCCCCCNCCCCCCTCATTCAACGCGTCGCGTCTCTCACACAATACAAGACCATCGTCAACATACAGCGCTAGGTATATTTTTGAGCCTTGGATATTGCCCACATACACACACTTATCAGCATTGCTCTGTTTAAAACCAATTTCTTTTATGAACGCATCAAAACGCTCATTCCAGCAACGGCCCGATTGTTTTAAATCATATACAGCTTTATTAAGTTTTAAAGCGGCATTATTTTTGTTGACTGTGAGTCCGTCTGGCACGCGCATATAAATTGTCTCGGTGAGTACGCTATTTAAATAAGCCGTGCTGACATCAAACTGAGCCGAATACAAACGCACTGCTATTGCTAGCAACACGCGTATGGACTCAAAACGAACGACTGGCAAAAATATTTCTTCGTAATCTACGCCTGCTTCTTGTGAGAAGCCTTGGGCACATAGTCTGGCTTTATATCGTGGTGGGCTGTTATCACCCGAATTCTTTATTTTGAAAGCCCATTTGAAGCCTACGGCTTTTCGCGAATCTGGTAACTCGACAATGTCCCAAGTATTGTTACGCGCGTGTGCTAGCAGTTCTTCGGCTATAGCTTTTCGCCACGATTCGGAGTCGTCACGACTGAGTGCGTCCTTATAGTTACGCAGTTCATCAAAAATAGCAGTACAGGCGTCATATCTTTTGGGAGGTTGTAATTCATTACGCGAACGCAAATTGTAGGAAGGCTCGAGTGGTTCTTCGGCAACTGTAGGTTCAGTATTTGCACGCTCAACCTCATCATACGCGTCAAGCCATTCATCATCAGCACTGTGTGCTTCGTCGTGAACACTCGCTTCGGCATCTCCGCGATCTGAATTGTCGTCGTCAACGACGTTATTAAAGATCAGTTCGGCTTCTTCGGTGTTTTCAATCTCTGAGACCGACTCAATTTTATGAAACGTAACGTTGCGCGATACCGACACAGTACCGGTCTGTGGGTCAAATAGTCGATAGGTCGCGGACTCGTTTTCATAGCCTACAAGAACTAATTTGCGCGCTTTCGCATCCCACTTTTTTCGAAAGATGCTTGGAATTTGAGCAAAGCATTCGCTTCCAAAAATACGTACTTGTGATAAGTCGGGTTTGTGCCCGAACCAAATCTCATAGGGTGTACGTGTACAATCTGCCGAATTTAAGGTGCGATTCAAATTATACACCGCCGTGTTGATGGCTTCAGCCCAAAGTCGCGTCGGTAGTTGTTTACTAAGCAACATGGTACGCGCGCTCTCTACTATAGAACGCATCTCGCGCTTGGCTCGCCCGTTTGTTCAGGTGTAAATGGCGCGCTTGTGATAAGCTCTATCCCGAGGTCGCTAAGAAAATCGCGCTTATCTTTATTCTTGCATTCGGTTCCGTTATCGGAACGGATAACCTTTACATTCCTGCCGAAGTGCGTGTTTACCGAACGTACACATTTTTTTAACATTTCACAGCAGTCACTTTTGTGACGGAGAAAGTACACTTTTCGAAAACACGATGCTTCGTCCTTGAATAAAAGGAAAAAACGAGCTCCACCAACCGACGCTATTTGCATTGGGCCGCATAAATCAGTGTGGATAATTTCTCCAGGAAGAGAGGCTTTCTGCTGATGTTTATCTCGCGAAAAAGGTAGTCTTATTTGTTTACCCATTGGGCAACTTTCGCAGAAAAAATTCTTTTTGTCTTTTAGACCAGCTCCCGTGACAGCGTTACTCCGAAAAATTTTCTTTAAGTATTCGCAATTTATGTGGCCCAAGCGTTCATGCCATACTTTTAGCGGAGCAGTTGACGCGCAATTCGCACAGTGTAAATTTTTCGCTTTTATTAGTAAGCGCGTCGTATTATTCGACAGTTTGACACCATGCGCGACTAATACATTGTTTTTGGACAAGAGCGTCGTGACATTATCTTCGTGTACGACTTTCATACCTTTCGATGTACATACGCCGATAAAAACTAGATTGACATTGAATGAAGGTACATACAGTACATTATTGAGCTCTCCGTCGAGCCATTTACACGCGTTTTTTATTACCATTATGATTTTTGTTACCGCCTGTATGTTGAACCTTTTCCTTGGACGTTTCGTTGAAGATGCTCATGGATGCTAGCGCACGGTTGACATCTTCGGAGTTGTTTAGGCGGCCTTCTTCTCGTAGTAGACGTTCTCGTAGGTTGTTGAGAGTTTGGTTAGCCTCAGGCGCGCTCTCCCAGGCAGAGATGAATAAGTGGTACTTCGGTGGTAGTGATCCTAGGATCTTCGCCATTACCATTACGTCTGCGACTGGTGATCCGATGTCGTTCAGCTGGCTTGCCATATTTTCGACTTTGCTGATATGTTGAGCTGTGGAGTCGTTGTACCCCATCCGATATTCATGGAACTTGGTGATGAGTGCCAATTTATTTGTGGCCGTTTTTTGCTCGTGTATCGCTGACAATTTCGACCACATTTCTGCTGCAGTAGAGCAAGTGATTAGGTATTCTAGCTGCGAGTACTCCATGGTGCTTGAAAGGATGAGCATTGCCTCTGCGTTTGATTTATTCAATGTTTTTATCGCAGCTGCAATAGCCGTTGTAGTTTCAGGTTTCTTATCAGTGCCTTCGATCATGTCGAGTAGGTCATGCGCGACGAAAATGTTTTTTACTTGGAATTTCCATAACTGAAAATTTTCTCCGTTAAATTTGGAGATATTCTTCACGTTCAATGCCGATTTTGACATTTTGATTTAGTCAAAATTTTCATTTTGTTTGTGGATAACAGAAAAACACTTTGCACTGATATTGTCACAATGGTCTTCTCACGGCAATAATTTCACTTAACCCTTTAACGCCCGAAGTGACCATTTTTGGACAACATTTATAGCGATGAATTACACCGACTAAAAATTGTTTAAAAAACTTTTCAGACATCATTTCTCACGTAAAATTTAATGTACTTTTCGAATCCGGGGTCAGAATTAAAAAAAAATCATTCAATAAAAAGTTATAAACAATTTTGTAAAAAAAAACATAAAATTTCGAGAAAAAAATCTCGTTCAACTCAAATTTCAAAACGGAAAGAAGGTTCGCTCGTGGGTCTCACGCATATAAATTTGGTCGATAGCATGTATAATTTACGTATTTAGTTAATACTGCGTTTTTCGGAGACTATGAATGCACTACTTTTGGTCACTTTTTACGAGGAATCGATTTACCGAATCAGAATTACCGTATGTTTTATAGATTTCAAATAATAACGTTAGGTTGTTTTCGCGGGTCCCGAAATCGCAATTCTCGCGTATATGAGGAGCGTGGAGTGACGCTGCTCTCGTCTGCCATACTTGCCATTCGGAGCGCGACACGCGCTCCTCGATTCTAAAATAGTTATAATGACGAAATTCAAAATGGTGATCATAAATTCGGCTCTCGAAGACCTGTATGTCATAAAATGATTTCGACAATTTTTAACTCGATAACCATCAACTTTACAAGAAAAAGTTGTAGAATAAAAAGTGTTTAGAATTGATAAAAGAACATGCCTGAATTTTTGGAGCAATTTTTGGATTTCTGGATAACATCATTTTTTCAAAAATCCAAAAATCGTTCCAAAAAATTCTGAAAAAGATCAGGCGTGTTCTTTGATCAATTCTAAACCCTTTTTGTTCTATAACTTTTTCTCGTAAAGTTGATGGTTATCGAGTTAAAAATTCTTGAACGTTCTCAGCCAAAATCAAAAATCAAAAATGAAACCGAAAGTTCAAGAATTTTTAACTCGATAACCATCAACTTTACGAGAAAAAGTTATAGAACAAAAAGGGTTTAGAATTGATCAAAGAACACGCCTGATCTTTTTCAGAATTTTTTGGAACGATTTTTGGATTTTTGAAAAAATGATGTTATCCAGAAATCCAAAAATTGCTCCAAAAATTCAGGCATGTTCTTTTATCAATTCTAAACACTTTTTATTCTACAACTTTTTCTTGTAAAGTTGATGGTTATCGAGTTAAAAATTGTCGAAATCATTTTATGACATACAGGTCTTCGAGAGCCGAATTTATGATCGCCATTTTGAATTTCGTCATTATAACTATTTTAGAATAAATTATACATGCTATTGACCAAATTTATATGCGTGAGACCCACGAGCGCACCTTCTTTCCATGTTGAAATTTGAGTTGAACCAGATTTTTTTCTCGAAATTTCATGTTTTTTTTTACAAAATTGTTTATAACTTTTTATTGAATAATTTTTTTTTTGAATAATTTTTTTTTGTGAGAAATGATGTCTGAAAAGTTTTTTAAACAATTTTTAGTCGGTGTAATTCATCGCTATAAATGTTGTCCAAAAATGGTCACTTTGGGCGTTAAAGGGTTAACATTAAATTTGTCACTTTGCACAGTGAAATTCCGTTAAACTGGGCCCGTAACCAGTTGCAGGTTATGAAAAATAAAATAGGGCGTTTATGAATAATATGAAACTTTATTATAAACAAAATATGGTTAAGCAAAAATACATATAGAAGTAATAAAGAACGAGTGGTTGCGCTGGTGTATCAGTAGCATCTGAGACTCGCACTGCACGCGAGAACGGAGCAAGCCGCTCGAATGTTCCCCCACTCTACCAAGCCTTACGCTTGGCCCACACAGACGAAAATACATCAAGTCTCGTTCACAACAATTCTTATGACCTGCGAGGGTCTGGACCGTAGCCGGTGCTCGCCCTGCAGTCTAATTATTTCTTACTGAGGCTCCGGTTGACCCATCAGGTCGTCTTACCTCAAAAGGGGGTCGAGCCTTCCACCAAATGCGCCACGAGCGTCGGCGATTCCGTGCTGAAAAGGTTGGAAAAGGTTTCGCGAAATGACCACAAGAGGGAATTAGGTTAAATCGAAAGTCACTTATTTATTCAATGATAGGTCCAATTTATTCTTATTCTAATATTTCGCGAAGATTTTTAAATTACTACTGAATCGCGTTTGATCGACAAGAGAATCTCAATAAGTACTTGAGTGTGACGTCAGATTACCATAAAGGTCCATACAAGAGAGTCCAAGGGGAAACCGTCGAGTCACAACACGCTCTCGGCTCGAATCTCAATATCGAGCCGCGCACTTGCACTCGCGCGTATCTGCGTCACTGTACGCGAAGCCTACTACCACGTGAGTTCGATCGCGAAAGTCTAAGGGGGAATCACAGAGTCACAACACGTACTCTGCTTGAATCCCGTTTTCGTGACACGTACTTACTCACCACTCGGAAGTGACTGCGCACCGCTCGGCCTGTGACGGCTTTACGGACTCCGTGCTCGCGGTGACGACGAAATGCCAAGATGGCCGATTATCGGCACTCTAACGCACGCGACGCAAAACGGCTCACTCGCCTCGGACGACTCAAGTACACTCTACTTGACTTAATTTACGACGCGACGTACCATCTCACACACACAGTGACATCCAATATGCACACTCTTCACACACACGACCGACCAAGATTGACTACGATTACAAAACTACTAAACGATTACGACGTCCTCGCCTGCTGACTGCTCGTTGATGTGGGGCGAGGTTACGTCCGAGTCCGGATGGATATCGGGTCCGCGCCACGTCTCACTCGTCAACTTAACCTATCTCGATGGGTGGTACGCACGACGTCTCTCGCTTGCTGCCTTTCGTACTTTGCCTTGGACAATGCCAACATACGCGACTTCCGCGACTCAATCGCTCTTTGCTGCTGCTTCACTCAGCTTCACTCGACTCGTTCCTTTTCAACCACGCTTCTTCTAGCCACGGACACGCTACTCGATTTGCTCACTCGCTTCTCCCCTTCCTCGAGAGCTCCCTACAACACCCCGTACTCTGTACTCGATCGCACGGTAACACACAATGGCGTCGTTTCTCACGTGTCGTCGTATTTCTCGCTTTCCTCTCTTTTTCCTCGCTGCTGCCGCTGCTCTGCTGCTGCTCCAGTTGTGACTTATCGCCGCGCCGCTCGCGCGGCCGGTAACGAGCACGTGCCTACGCTGCGGCGGTGCGTGGAGGTTAGAAGCGCTTAGTTCCTCCTGCACCCTGAACGGTCGGTCGGTCGCTACTCTCTCAGATGCATAAGCGCGGCCTTTATGCACAACGAGTGGCGTTCGTCGCCAGTGACATAGTCGTATTCTATAGAGATTCGATTACCAACCTATGTAAGGGCTTTATGCCTCCTGCAGGACTTTTGCTGTGCACTGTTTGATATGCACGTTTTTTTTGGTAAATAAATAATAATAATAATAATAATAATAATAATTATAATAATAATGATAATGATATGAGTACAGAATATATAGATAGTGTCGTGATCCATATCAGATTCTTATCATATAGGCAATAAAGGTAAATTTCTTTGTGGAATGAAATACAATTGGTAGTGATCTCTTGTTTCATCGTACAAACATTGTGAGAAGTATTTATTGTAATGAATCGTAGTTATAATTTTAAATCAATTTTATTATAAAAAGTTAAAATAGCAATAAAAATTGATTGAAACAATTCATTTGGTGAGTAGTAATAATTCACTTTTTGTTACTTTTTCGAAGTTCTATGTATATTAAATATTTTTAATTAACGTGGAAGATATTGAAGACAATATGTTGAATAATTATTTCTTATACATGAACATATCTGGTATTTTTCGATATTTATAAAATATTTATTGAATATCTGTGAATCCAATGCACATCGGTTTTTCACACATTTGTTGTCGCTGAAATGAAAATAAGAAGAGTTAAATCATTTTCAAGTTTATATTATTGTGACAAAATTTTACGAACATTAAAATTAGGATACAAACGTATGAATTAAATTTAAAAATTAAAAAATGGAATTATCAGAAAAAATTGTATTAAAAAAAAAGTGAATTGAAAATAAGGAATAGTAATATATTCTATTTGAAAAAAAATTGGGGAAAAAGTAAAAAAATATATTCCAATAAATAATTTTCGTATCCTTTGTAGAGTGGAATCATATCTTTGCAACTCAATATAGTGTTGTGATGGCTGGTTTGACCATCTATTTATTGTTGTATGTATTGTAGTGAGCCGTGTCGCCGCTAGGTGGCACGGAGTAAAAGTGCGGTTCACGCAAGTGAGATTGTTAAGTCTGGGCGTTATATAGACCCGAGAAAGACTTGTATCTTCGGAAGCCTCGAGAGAGGCGAAAGAGAGGTGGATTAATAAACAGAGTTCTTTGAAAAGGGAATCTCATCTAATTATTTTACCTCCCTCCCATTCACCATCCCCTCCTAGCCGGGACCCCAGGAGTTTCTGTAGCAGCGCAAGACGGGCGGACGACTCAGCAGCATTCCAGCGAGCAACGAGCAAGGAGATCGAGAGTCGACCCGGTGCCTCACCTACAGCATTATATACTACGCTAGCTTTATCAATGATCCCAGACTGATTAAATAATTCTACTTCCGTTATTCAATGACTCTAACCGTTGTCTCAGAGGGGTGTGAGAGAGAAGAAATAAATAGCACAAAGAGTTGGGTTCACACAAGACTTTGGTTTATTAAATATTAAACTAAAATTAAATCGAAGACAGTTATACTTGGTTTCACAATAGCTTACATCAGAAATACGACGAAGACGCTTAACC